GAGAAACAGCTGAGGAGCAAGATCATTCCGATGGTCAAGGTGCAATGGTCAGAAAGGACTCCTGAGGAGTGTACCTGGGAGCGAGAGGACGAGCTTCTCTGGCAGTATCCCGATTTCTGAGACAGGTATATTCTGATTTTGAGGACAAAATCCTAAAAAGGTGGGGTGAACGTAAGAACCAGCACCGTTAATTAAGGAAATGAATCAGTTAATTATGAGTTTAATGAGATAATTTCATAATTGACCCTAATAATTATTATGAGGCTCTAATAATTATAGTAAGTAAGTAATAAAGCTGAAAGTCGCTTTTCAGACGAAAAATGCATATACCGATTTTGCTAGTCAGTATAAATGCGTACAGAAAAAGTATCCCGGAAAATTATAATAAGTGCATGATAATTACTAGAAAAATATGTAGGACTTGTAAAACGAGTTTCAAGTTACAATAATGAGAACTGGTGCCAGAAACTGATACTGGCTATGGAAAAACGCGTACCGGAAATGTGCTGCAAAAAATATAAGAAAAAAAATGATAATTCTTGTAAAATTGAGTAGGTTAAGAATACTGAGTTTGGGATTAAAATGTTAAGCGTAGCATTTAAAGTTAATACTGTGTGTTTTATGGTTAAGTGACTATAAATACTTATTTTGGGCACTAAACCCTAGGCCATAACACTATCCTACGTGAGTGCTTGGAGGCTGGTCAACTGATGCCTTGTCCTTGGGTTCTCTTCTCCAATTTGAGACCAAGTTGCTATCTTTCTTGATTTTCCTTCACATTTCTCCTTGTAAACACTTGTGGGTGGCTTAGTGAGGGTGAGAGGTAGCCTTTTATGAGATTCTAAGCTGCTGTGTGTGAGGTTCTTGTGTTGAGTTTGAGAGTTGGGTGAGAGTCATCTTGTTCTTGGCTTGTGAAGCTTCAAGGAGCTTCCTTTATGTTGAAAGGTGAAAGCTTGTGTTGTCATTTTCACTTTGGGTCCAAGTTAGAACCTTTGGAGTTGGTTGTGAACTCCAAGAACCTTCCATTTCTGAGTTTGAAGCTTTGGTGAGTTGCCTAACCTTGATCATGAGTTTAAATGATTTAAAGGTGGTGTCTTTACATGTAAATGGGTTAAGCAAGTAACTAACATGTGTATGAACCTGCATAGACCTTAAAATGGAATCTTGAACGCATTTAATTGGTAAAAGTTGGTACCTTTATTGGATATCTTTGCGAAATGCAGAAACTGCATTCTATCGCGAAATGTAGAAACTGCATTCTGTCGCAAAATATCCAGATATTTGGTCGATAAATATCGGGATATGGATATCCGGATATTGATATCCAGATATTGATATTCGGATACTGATATCCGGATATTGGCAGTGAGATATCCAGATATTGATATCCGGATATGCCCCCGACATATATCCGGATATCCTGGGTTTTCGTGAAACAGTAAGGTACTGTTCATACAGAACTGAGCTATGGGTTTGTGGACCCTATTTTGATGGATTTGAACTTTTGTAAATACTTAACTAAGTCAAAATCAAGGGATTAAGCGCTTATGGCTTTGTGGAAGCCTTAAGACGTAAAACGTAAAAGGAAAACATAGTCTTCATGTTTATGCTTTTGAGCTATGAATGTTGATATGCTTGCTGGTCCTAAATCAGATTGTTATCTGCTATGTTTGGACATTGAGCTTGTGTGGACTTGACTTGGATTGATTACTTAAGAGGTAAGCTTTCGTTTTCTCAGTTTTTCCATGTTGTGTTACCACCATGTCCCACGGGGATATCGTTAAATGCATGTTGTGTTACATGCTTTGGATATTTGAAATGCTATTGAGCTTTATTTGTAATGGTTTTTAATATGCATGTGTTGTTCCATCTTGATGGTAACCCTGAGTATGTGGCGTCATACAAGACGGTGATCCGGGGTGGATGCAAGTGGCGTCTTGCACTATGTGTGGGTATTTGGCGTATATAAATCCTGCATTTCTCTGGCCAGTAGAATAGAATTGACACACATGACATGATTATCTGCTGCATTGCACTATTTTAGAACTGATGATGATAAACTGCTTTTGAACTTATATTGCACATGTAAGTTAGCTTGGGGTGGAAGATCCTTGAGGACCCTTTGCCTTACTGAGATTTCTTGTTTACAGATCTCACCCCACGTTTGGGGAATGCTTATTTCAGGTTCAGGTAGTATGGGGACTGATGTCTCTGGCGGCAGGAGGCCAGAGCTTAGTTGATGTTTAGTGCTGTTCATATTATGCTGGCATGACTGGATTGGATGCTGTTTATGTTTTCCGCCTTTATCTTTATGTTGCTGTTTAGTTGAGACTTATGTGGGCTTTGTTGCCTTATTTGGGGTGAGCATGAGAGTTGTCCATGCCACCATGTTGTTAGTACTTTTGAGTTGAGTTGTATAAACTGCTAGTTGGTCCGGTCTACGTGTTGTAGCTCCGTGATTAGAGACATACTTATGTTATTTTAATTGATGAGGTATTCCAGTTAGCTGTTTATTGCAATATACATACAGGTGATGTTTTGAAAATGGTTAAGTAATCAAGTTGGTAATAAATAATGACATCATAATTGAAAAGAAAAAGATATTCCGCATTTTTAACTAAGTGCAGCTTCATACGATAGTGATAACATTACCGGATATATACGGGGTGTTACATTTTTGGTATCAAAGCAATGCAATGGTTCGAGGGAAAAGCCTGTATGTATTGCAATAGCTAGGATGTTTGGTTGCGTCTGTCTTGTGTGTTTACTCCGTCGAATTTTATTATGATAATGCATATGTAACCACATTGTGTGGGCCTGATCAACTCATAATTTGTGTAACTTGTGCAGAGTCATGGTAAGGTCCGGGAGAACACGAGATACTTCTGAAGATCAACCCGATCCTATCCTGACTGCATTGGCTGAGATGCAGGCGACTAGGTTAGCCGATCAGGAGGCCAATAGATTGGCCAACGCGGCAATGATGGACGTTGTTCGCGAGGCGAACTGGATAGCCGCAGAATTGAGGGCAGAGTCATGTGCAGAGTCATGTTGGAGGAATTGAGGGCTGGTCCTGCTGTAGGTCAGTTTCTACTGCCACGACCGCCGCCATCTCCACCTAGTGTTCAGGATGAGAGCCTGAGTCACATTGGCAGTGCCACTAATGTCGCTGATTTGATGGAGACCCTTGTGGGACCTGCTGAAGATCGTGATGTGATTGATCGTCGGCTGAATGCTCTCAGGAAGCATAAGCCACCTGTGTTTGATGGGTCTTTGGAACCTATTGCTGCAGCGAGATGGCTACAGGTGCTGGATAAGATATTTCGGGTCATGCAGTGTACAAACCCGCAGAAGCTGATGTTCTCGACTTACATGCTGGAGGGTGATGCCCATGAGTGGTGGACGAACTAAGCTGATGTTCTCTTCATCTCAATCTTAGTTTTCCAACTAAGCCGCGTTTAGTGAACTAGTGGTTGAAAACCAATCCTCGTGGGAACGATCTCGTACTCCAGTACACTTTTATTACTTAACGACCGGTGCACTTGTCGAGTTGCAACATTGTTTTATCCACGAGATCAGTTGCTTTCAATTCTCCACGTAATGCATCCTCATATGCTACTCCAGTTCTTAACATCGAAGAGGAAGATGAAAATGACCCTACCTAGGTTATGGATGACGACTAAGATGATGAAAATATCGCAATGGAAGAACATCTTCGGGCTGAGGATGCTAGTGTTTCGGACAATAATAAGGATCGTGATATGCCCGCTTCTCAAATCCAAGAATATCATAAAGGGGGGGGTGTCTGAAAATAACTATAAATTCATATATATATATTTATTTAAATTGCAATATTTTAATTTTTTTTGCATCAGTTTAACTTGCCATCCCTTTATGCATCAGTTTAAATTGCAATATCTAAAAGAGTGTCCTAGCGAAACCTGTGGAGGGAGAGAAACACCAGCTACCAGAGGTGCAACCGGAGAAGGTGGGGTCTGGTTCAACGAGGACCAACGGTCAGCCGAAACCCATCAGGCCTGACAACTTGGGAAGCGCGAAAGGAACTAGGAACCAAAAAGAAGCCTCTGATATTCCTAGGTTTAGCCACCTGCCTAAGGTGAACCAGAAAAAGATGTCTCAGGGAAAGGAAAAAAGGAAGATATCAAGTTGACTTTGGGGACCACGACAAAGGAGAAGCTGCACAACACCAACCATTTGGGAAGCGAAACAGGTGTCAGTAGCGGCCTGTATGCTAGCATGGAAACAAAGGAGTCTGTGGGGCTTAAAGCCATGCAAAAGAGGAATCATGTTTGCATGGATTTAGCCCCTATGATCAACCCTAGCGCTCCATCATCCTCTTCGAGTTTAGCCAAAAATAGGGAAAACTCAGCAGGAAGTGATGCTCAGAACATGGAGATGGACAAGTCCACTGCGAAAGAAAGGGATCAAGATATCTTGAATAAGATGCGATATGTTTCGAAGGAACAAGATCAGACAACCCTTGACCAAGTTCTTATGGTCATGGGGAACCCCCTCCACCCTTCTGTTTGACTGTTTGTGTCTGGCTGGACGAGTTGGTTACCTCTTTCTTTTAGGTTTTCCATGTTTATTAGCTCCTGGAATTGTAGAGGGGTGGGTAAGAAGAGCCTTCCCCCTAATTTGTTACTTAAAGAGTAGATTTAGACTTAAAGTTGTGTCTTTTGGAAACCCGCATAAGCGAGGATAAAGCTTCAAAAATTGTAAAGAAGTTAGGTTTCAACAAATTCTTCGTGCAGGAGCCTTGGGGTTCTCAGGGGGAGTTTGGGTTTTATGGGATAACAAGGAAGTGACTGTTGACATCCTCTGCCATAACCATCAACTGGTTCATACTAGAATCAAGTTTTTGGACTCAAAAATTGAATCTTGTGACCTTTGTGTACGGTAGTCCCAGAAGAACTGAGAGACATTTTCTTTGGCAGGAGCTGGTTCACATTTCGCTCACGGTGGGAGAAGCTTGGGTAATGTTAGGGGACTTCAACTCCATCCTTCATGACCATGAGAAAAAGGGTGGAGCCCAGGTTTATACAGGTAGTGTTAGGGAGATGAGTCAGTGTTTGGAGGACTGCTCCATTGAGGATATGGGCTTTAAGGGCCCAAATTTTACTTGGAGAAGAGGTAGGCTGGAGGAAAGATTGGACAGGGTTGTGGTTAACGAGGCATGGAGTTTGGATTGGCCCAACAGCTATCTGGTCTATGTAACATCCCGGGTGCTGACGATTGCATAGTTAGTGGAAGAGCTAACGTACAATTGAATGTATAGTTAGTGGAAGAGCTAGCGTACTATCAACGGGAGGAGTACACGAATGAATCAAATAACACCGAAAAGAGAGGGATTCCAGAGACTATGCTGGTATAAGACAGTACAATTGAGGATAGCTTATAAGAATTAATTAGTACTACCTATACTAACAAGATGCATCTACTTTTCGGTAGCTCGGATCGGAAGAACTCCACAGTTAAGCGTGCTTGACTTGGAGCAATTCAGGGATGGGTGACCTCTTGGGAAATTTTCTCTGGAAGTGTGTGAGTGAGAAAAAACACACTGAAAAGTCTCGTGTTAGTATGTGGGGATAGTCGTTAATGCTTGAAGCAGACGGGCGTTACATCCCACCTCCCCTTTTTTCACTCGGATCACAGGCCCATTTCGTTTCTGAGTGGCTTGGCTGACTTCCAATGAGTTTAGGCCCATTGTTGACAAATGTTGGCCCACGAACTGCAGAGGAGAGGAAGCATATCAGGGTTTCAAAAACGAGGCGTCCAATTGGCACCAGAATTCCTTTAGAGCCCAAGCGAAGGAGAAAAATTGGATTTTTGCTCGTCTTGAAGGGATTGAATGCCACCTAAACCTCCGCTTCTGCAGTAGCCTGGTGCGTCTGCAAAGGGAGCTATGGACTCAACTTGAATCGATCCTCTTAAGGGAAGAACTCGAATGGTTCCAGAGGTCCTGTTGTAACTGGATCAAATTAGGGGATAGAAACATAAGATACTTCCATGCGAATTCGGTGGCTAGGAGAAGGAGGAACCAGATTGAGGCTTTGAAGGATGACAGGGGATCCTGGGTTACAGAAGAGAAAGAGCTCATCATCTTGGCCAAGGAGTACTACCAGAATCTTTTTCACGAAGATATCCCTTGTAGATAGAAGCTTCCCTTGAGGGGGATGTTCCCGGCTATTAGCGATGCAGATCTGAGAAGAATAGGGGAGCAACCTTCCAATGAGGAGATCAGAAATATCATCTTTTCTATGGGAAATTTGAAGGCTCCAGGGCCTGATGGGCTCAACGCGGATTTCTTCCAATCTCAATGGGATTTGGTTGGCCCCTCAGTTTGTAATCTTGTCAAACAAGCGTTCACCAACCCATATACCGTCTCTAGCCTCAACCAGACCCTGATCTGCCTCATCCCCAAAATGCAGGCTCTGGAGTCGATCAAGCAGTTTCGCCCCATCAGCTTGTGTAATGTCACCTACAAGACCATTACCAAGCTCTTGTCCTTTAGATTGAGGTCCCACCTCACCGATCTAGTGTCTCCTAATCAATGTAGCTTTGTCTAAGGCAGACACAATACTGACAATGTTGTTATCGCTCAAGAGATCGAAGAAAGCGAAATCTGGGTGGATGGACATCAAAATTGATCTAGAGAAAGCGTACGACCGCCTCAGTTTGGAGTTCATCCAGGACACTCTCAATGATATTGGGCTGCCTCTAACATAGCTAACCTGATCAATGGTTGTGTCTCGTCCGCGTCCATGAATCTGCTATGGAATGGCAAAGCCACATCTAATTTTCAACCCTCTAGAGGAATTAGGCAAGGGGACCCCACATCCCCCTACCTTTTTGTTCTATGTTTGGAATGGCTAGCCCATCTGATCAATCAAGCTACCTCATCTGAGAATTGGAACCCAATTAAGCTCAGGAGGGACGGTCCTCCTATCACACACCTTTTCTCCGCCGATGACATCCTTCTTTTTGGGGAAGCTTCTACGGAGCAAGCGTTGAACATCAAAACAGTCCTCGATTTATTCTGCTCGGCCTCGGGTCAGCTGGTTAGCCAGGAGAAGACCAGAATGTATTTATCTAAGAACGCTCATTTCAACAGAGCTACAGAAATCAGCAATGCAATGGGCTTTGGAATGACCTCTAATTTGGGCAAATACCTGGGTATCCCTTTGCATCACTCCAGAGTTAGAAGAAGGACTTACAACTATAACTTGGAACGGGTCCAGAAAAGACTGCACTCCTGGAATGTCTCCTCTTTGTCCATGGGAGGTAGAACCACTCTTGCAAGCTCTATCCTAGCGGCTCTTCCAGCCTACTCGATGCAGACATCAGAGCTCCCTCTCTCATTGGGCGATGAGGTGGACAAGACCATAAGAGGATTCGTCTAGGGTTCGACAGCTAATAAAAGGAAAACTCACATTGTTAGATGGGATGCTGTTTGCAGACCGTTAAAAGAAAGGGGGCTGAATTTGAAACATATGCGTTCTGTCAACAAAACCTTCATGATGAAGATAGTGCATGGGATTCTCACTCAGAAGGATGCCCTATGGGTCAGGATTCTGCGCAACAAATACAACTTGGGTAACGATCTCATCCCTGTCCCCAGGAAGACTTCTAACTCGTCTAATCTCTTGAAGGGAATATTGAGAACTTGGCCGCAGCTTCTTCAGGGTTCACGCATTCAACTTGGTGATGGGAAGAGTACACGTTTTTGGCTAGACAATTGGGTTCCCAAAAGGTGTAGACTGTTGGATGCTGCTACTGAGCCTATCCCTGACTCTGTCCTGGAGGAAACGGTCCATGCCTTTGTAGGCCGCGATGGGGGATGGGAATGGAATAGGCTGGAACGCCTACTGCCACCTCATATCATTGCCTTGATAGCGGGCATTGTTCCTCCGAATGAAGATGATGGAGAGGACATGGTTATTTGGGATGCCTTTAACGATGGGGCTTTTTCTGTTAAATTTGCCTACACGTTGCTTCACCCCCCTTCTGTTGCTGATCCCAGGAGGAACTAGTCCATAGCTTGGGACTGGGAGGGCCCTCAAAGAATCAGAAACTTCCTTTGGCTCCTCATTTGGGAGAACCTGCTTACAAACGGGGTGAGAAGTAGAAGGCATATGGGGGATGGTAGCAGCTGTCAGCAGTGCCATTTTTCTGTGGAGGATTGCCTTCATTTTTTTAGGAATTGTACCTGGTCTAGAGCTCTTTGGTTTAAGTTGGTGGATGGAAACCTGAGGCCGCACTTCTTCAATTCAAATCTCCTGGATTGGTTGGAAAGTAATCTTAAAAGATCGAAGAGTGGTCCAACTCAATCTAAGTGGAACATCCTCTTTGGCGTTACATGTTGGATGATTTGGCAAGAGAGGAACAACTTGGTTTTTAATGGATGCAGTAAATCCTAGGACTATGTGATAGCTAGAGGTAAGTCCTTCACGGAGAACATTGGTTTGGCTGAAAGAACTCTGTCTTGTGCGGGGATTGGTCCTAGCTGGAAACAGTAAATCTTGATTAAATGGAGCTTTCCGCCCGAGGGGTGGATTAAGTTGAATACCGATGGAGCCTGCAAATGGGACACGAGAAACATGGGCTGTGGAGGGGTCATTAGAGACTGTAGTGGTTCTTGGATTGTTGGTTTCTCTAAGAATCTGGGTAAAGGCAACTCCCTGACTGCCGAGCTGTGGGGTGCACTAAAGGGGGACTCTTCTACTATGATTCATCTCCTGGCCAAAGGATGTGAGGCCCATAAGCCGTGTTACAATCTGGGATCAAGAATTCGAAACCTTGTTAACAGATCCTGGAATGTGATCATCTCTCACTCTATGAGAGAAAGTAATAAGGTTGCGGATTGGATGACCAACAAATCCTTGTCCCAAGACTGGGACACTGTGATCTTCGAAACTCCTCCTCACGATTGCGCTCTGCTGGTGTTGAACGATTCTATCGGTGTCTCATCACCCGGACTTGTCACTATGTAATTGCTTTTATTTCCTTCTATTTCAAAAAAAAAAAAAAAATTAACTTAGAATTTTTCCCCATATATTAATATATGTATCGAGGACAAGCCTTGAAGCAGTAGTAAGATTGTTTCTTATAATCATAAGTTCGAGTTGAAAATAGCCTCTTTATAAAATTGTAAGGATCAAGCTGTGTACAGTCCACCATTATCTTTATCCTCGCAAATCGAAAAGTCTTGTGCATCAAAGTTTGCCCCTTAATATATCAGCCAATTACATCTTCCATGGTTCTTCTTTTAATTAACAAGTAATACAACAAAAGGTAAATGGTCCAGAATATGTTGTTATCAAGTTTACTTAATTAATTACATAACACTATCATGAGAGCTTCCTTTATTTAAGGGAGTCCTAATCCGTTGCATAAGTGGTGGGTTGTACCGTCGTCGTACGTTAGAATCATGTCACTAATTTACTTGCAAGACTTAGCTACTAGGCAGAGAAAGAAACACATGGATAGGTCCACAGTGCCTCAGCATCAAGATTAAACACTCAATACTCAACAATGCATGTGCATGGAGGATATTCTAGTTGCAACTAATTAATGAAGGTAGCTTGAAATATCTTTCTAAGATGTAATTAACCATATAGTAGATGCGGAGTCTCTCATATATCACTGCCTATACATACACATTTCACCTTTCATGGTGTCAAACAACTGATGCTACGTACTTTTCCCCCTCCATGCTCAATTAGTTTACAGTTTTTCTTAATCTTTTCAGATTGAATAATTCGCTGTAATCATCAGTGATTTCCCACCAGTGAAAATCGGCGATGGAGAAGTGGGGTTTGTTGGTAGCAACTGAATCATGAATATTGAGAAGCAAGATATTGAGGGGGTGCATGCATTTAATTAACAGTGAAAGTGACTTGGTTAAGACTTAAGAGCTCGCTAGTGTGGTGCCTGTCGTGCCACTATTCTACAATGCGTTGATGTGTATTTGTTCGGGTTGTTTGCGATGTTGATGGTAGCTGCTAGGTAGTATATTTTATGAGGGACAAGAGGATACACTTTAGCTGCTCCGAAAAGTTTTATTTTAGAATCTAATAATGGCATTTTGGCTTGTTTATAAGACACGTTGGCTCAATTATACAGAGTGACTTAACTATGGTTGATGGTAATGAATCCTCTTATTTTAAAACTTTCACATGGTTGTTATCAAAAAAAAAAAAAAAAAAAAAAACTTCACATGGTTTGGTTATATGAAATTTTTGTATCTATTTTTTTTTTTTCGTTAATGCTAATCAGACCCTACCTATTTAATACATGTAAATAAAGAGATATCATATGAAATTTTAATATCAGAGGATCCACTATGATTCTTTTGTAGTGTACACATATTTTGTCCCCATTTTTTGGGTCACTGGGATTAATTAAAAGTTTGTCCTCGAAGTTTAATGCCACAAGCGTGATTATAAACACTAGTACGTATGCTATTTAATGCAACGTATAGCTATTGTCAACTTCTCAATCTTGACAAGATTAGGCCTATTACAACATGCACGCAATATTTATTAATATATTTTCTTCCATTTTTCTTACATTTTCCCCTTTTAATCTTTATAACTGAGAAATGTCACTATTTGTCGGGAAAAATTTGTCTGCCACAGTTTTGTCATGGCAAATTGCAAGTATAGATGGCGACTTCAGTGCCCAACCAACTTGTATTCAGATCTGGAATCACAGCTATATATATCTTTTAATTAATTTCTAGAGGTCACCTCGAGCAAGTTTAAACCAGCCAGTTTTTTTGCAAATTGCTCGGATTTGTTGCCATATATTTGCAACTAGTAGAGATCTATTAATGATTATTTATTAAACTTTGTGACTTGATACTTTTAGAGAATAATATAAATCTCATTAAAAATATTATCACCCAACATCTTAAGATTTTGGGTTAAATTGATTCTTAACATGATATCAGAACATCAATAACCATAAGGTCACGAGTTCGATCCTAACCGCCACCACTTTCAAGTGGAATTAAATAAAGACAGGGTAAAACAAATTTTTTTTTTTGTCTGTGCAATGTTCACCTTTAAGCCCAAAAGGGCTCTTGCGTGAGATGATGTATTAGAGAATAATACAAACCATTAATTTGTCATCATCCCAACACTTTAAAATTTTG